CGGCGGCCATCGCCAGCTCGCTGATCCGGCAGAAGCGGCAGGCGCGCGAGTCCAACAGCGAGCGCGTCTCGGCCTCCAAGCGCCGCACCAGCCCCAGCAAGGACGGCCGCTCCCTCTGCGAGAGACACGTCCTCGGCGTCTTCAGCAAGGTCCGCTTCTGCAGCGGCAGGAAGAGGCACGTCCGGCGGAGACCAGGTCAGTCCGTCGGGGGCTGCTGGAGTCCCGGCCCCGCCGCCGCCACCCCAGGTGAACCTCCCGACCGCCCCTGCCTTTGGGCCCCTGCCTGCCTGGCACAGAGGGTTGGACGGGATGGGCCATTCGCCGGATCCAACATGGGCTTCTCTTAGGTTCTTCTATCTGAGGCAGTGAAGCTCTGTCTGCTGGGGTGGGGGGAGAGTGGGAGGGCTTCTGGAGTTCTGGCCCCGCTGGTGGACCTGGGTTTGGGCCAGTGTGTGACACAGAGAGTTGGGCTGGATGGCCTATTGGCCTGATCCAACATGGGCTTCTTTTATGTCTGGGGCAAGGGATGCTCTGTCTTCTTGGTGCTTGGGGGGTGGCAACAGTGGGAGGGCTTCTGGTCTCCTGGCCCCACTGCTGGACCTCCTGAGGGCACCTGGTATTTTTGGCCACTGTGTGACAGAGTGTTGGACTGGGTGGGCCACTGGCCTGATCCAACACTGGCTTCTCTTATGTTCTTCTATGGAGCAAGGGTCCGTCCATGGCTATTAGCCACAAGGTAGAGATAGGAACTCTTAGGCTGGGGCAAGGGATGCTCTGTCTTCTTGGTGCTTGGGGGGGCAACAGTGGGAGGGCTCCTAGTGTCCTGGCCCCACTGGTGGACCTCCTGAGGGCACCTGGTGTTTCTGGCCCCTGTGTGACACAGAGTGTTGGACTGGGTGGGCCACTGGCCTGATCCAACATTGGCTTCTCTGATGTTCTTATGAACATGGGCCCTGGGGAAGCTGCGAGAGAGACCCTGGCAGAGTTAGGGTGGGGGAGGCAGATACACACACCTCCACACACACCTCTGGTTGCCTTTGAATGTGGACAATTGAGCTGGTATCTGTCGTTGCTGTGTGGCGTACAGAGATATTAATTGCAGTTTACTGTTTTGTATCGCCATCGATATTAATGCTTTAAATTGATGTATCTGTAATTTTATAAGATGTATATTGTTTTATGGGAGCCGCCTTGAGTCCGCCTCGGCGGGGAGGGTGGGGTAAAAGTCAAATGAATGAATGAATGAATGAATGAATAAATAAATAAATAAATACAGGTTGCTTTGGGGAGGCTAGAAATAGGGATTTGGGGCATGGGCAGAAAACTCCTGAATGGCCAAACCTTCCTTTCGTCTTGCTTTACCTCTGGGCCATTTTTTAAAAATTAATTTTTATTTATTTTATTTGTGCCCTAATTTTTTCTCCCAAGGGGCTTCCCATTTTATCCTCACAACAACCCTGTGAGGTCAGTTGCTCTGCGAGTAAGTTAGAGGTGATGATTTCTGTGATTTTGCTTGCAGTCCTAGTATTTCCCCCCTCTCCTGGAACAGTTGACACATTGTGTCAGTAGTGTTCCTGAGCATGTGCAGAATACTTTTGAGAAGCTGCCAGAGAGTTTTCAGGGTGCCTGTGGATATTGTACAATGTGACTCTCAGACATGGACTAGGATGTCCTTGTTCACACAGGACCCCTTTTAGTTGTATACAGTATTTCAGTTGTATGCCCAACAATGTAATGTGAGACTTTGTGGCGTACATGTTGGCAAAGGGGTGCGCTTGTCAGGATCCCTGGGTTTGTTGTGGCTCACAGATTGTGGTAGGCTCAGGTGTGGGGCTTGCAGAAGGTGGGAATCCCCTTTTGAATGTAATGGAAGGTTAGTAGTTCAGCAGTTTGAGACCCGAGTGCCACATAACAGAGTGAACTCCCGTCTCTGGCCCCAGCTCCTGCCAACCTAGCAGTTCCAAAGCAAGAAACTGCACGTAGATAAATAGGTACCGCTTCGGTGGGAAGGTAACAGCATTCCGTGCGCCTCGGCGTCTAGTCATGCCGGCCACGTGACCACGGAAACATCTTCAGACAGCGCTGGCTCTTCGGCTTGGAAACGGAGATGAGCACTGCAACCCTAGAGTTGGATTCGACTGGCTTTCGAGCAAGGGAAACCTTTTACCTTCAACTGAACTTCAGTGTCAGGATCCTGCCCTGGACTATGAAGGAGATATGTCAGGTAACGTGGAAATGCTTCCCAGCTGTCCACTCCATGTCTCTGAGCAGTTTCCAAACGAATGTATCCGGGTTGATAGATCAAGATGAGCAGCCATATTAGTCTGTCTGTACCAGCAGAAAAGAGCCAGAGTCCAAGTAGCACCTTCAGGACTAACCAAATTTGTAGCAGGGGAGGAGCTTGCATGAGTCATGGCTCACTTCTTCAGATACTTGGATTTCCATTCTGTCTGGCTAAATGTGGTGCCTTCCATGGAGACAAATCAAGATGGGTCGCTGTGTCACTCTGTCTGTAGCAGTCGAAAAGAGCAAGAGTCCAGGAACACCTTAAAGACTAACAAAATTTGTGGCAGGCCACAAGTTTTGTTAGTCTTTAAGATGCTCCTGGACTCTTGCTCTTTTCGACTGCTTACCAGGGTGACTTCCTTGAACCCCTGTTGCTCCGTTTATCGCCCCTGAAGAAAGGAGCTGTAGTCCACAGACACTCGAGGTGTCTTTGGGAGAACTAGGGACTTGGTGGAGGACCTCTGCTTGGCACAGAGGAAGGTCCTGAGTTCAGTCCCCTTCGATGGCGCTTCCGTGGCACTAACTGGCGAAGGCCCGTCTGCACCCAGCAGCCGGATCCCGCTGGATGAGACCCCATGGGTGAGGTCGGCCCTGTGTCAGGCAGCCTCAGACAGTCGTGTTTACGTTCTCCGCCTTGTCCTGTCTCTGCAGTTGCGTAAGGGTGGCTTACATGCCCATGTGCCAAAGCATGCATTTCCTTGCCAGACTGCAATTTGTCAGCTTCTATCAGAGGGGTGGGGTTGCAGTCCCTGAGGGCAGCACCTCTGCTACTGGGTCAGTCTGGCACGGGCCCTGCCACAGCTCCTGGGCGTCCCGTGGGCCTTGGCCTTGGTGCTGGCCACCACAGCACTTGATTCATGCAGAGGAGCGTTTCCCCAGATTTGAAGGCGTAGTGGCCGAGTCCTCTGTTCCGGGAGCCACTAACCCTCTGGGCGTGTTCTGCATTCCTCCCCTTCGTGCACAGCTTTGGGGGGGTGGGGCTGTCACAAATATTTCAGCTAAACTGGCATCAGTTATAGGGAGGGGCAGCAACAGGGGGAAAGCAGCTGCTTTGTACCAAAAATTGTTTGCTGCAGCTTTAAAAGTAGCATCTGCTTTGTGGACACATCTGTGTGTGGAGTAAACACAGTGTCCCGCATAAGTACTAGTCTAGTTTCTTATTCATTTCGTTCACACCGAAAGCAGCAGACTTTGTTCTCCTCTTCTCCCCTTTATCCTCACAACAACCTTGTGGGGTAGGCTAGACTGAAAGAAAGAGATTCGAACCTGGGTCTCCCAGAAACTAACAATGCTCCCTCTAAGCTGTGGAGTCTTGTGAGCAGAAATTCTACTTTGTGAGCTACTGGCCTTAAAGTTGTGAGTGAGCGATTCGGCTCCTGCATCAATGAGTTTGCTCTGGAGCCCCATCCTTCCTGAGCTGAGACACAAATCTGTGAGCCGGAGGCTAAAAAACTGTGAGCTAGCTCACACTAACTCAGCTTAGATGGAACATGTAAGCACTACACTATGCAGGCTCTATTCTCATGACTTGTGAATTTCGACTGCCTTTTTCCCATGAATATTTTAAAATCGTTTTTCCATACAGGATAGTAAATCTGGACTAGACCAAAGTCCGCTTAGACCAGTTTCCCATAAAAAAACAGAAGCAGAAGCAGTGACTCTGGAGGGGTTTCTTAGTTTCTCCTCCTAGTGTGTGGTTTGGCTTCCTTCTCTGAGCTCCCGAAGTTCTCCCCCCCCCCCCCACGAAGGACTCAAGCTCCCTCTTTGGGATCTGCTGATGCAGTTGGCGAAGCAGCCAGCATCTCCCCTTCGCTTCAGTGCCTTGGGTGGGGTGTGGTTTGTGAGATCTGTAGCCCCTGTGCGTTTGCAGATTCCGGATAGGTTGGATGTTGCTGTCTGCTGCCAGGATGGGTCCATCAAGGGCTGCTACTTGCAGTGACCCCATGTTCAGAGACCGTAAACTTTGGAATCCCCGTGGGGCAGGCAGCCAGGCGAGAGTCTCTGCTCCTTCTTGCTGGCCTTCCAGGGGGAATCTGCTCAGTTGGCGTAGTGGTTAATTGCGTGGACTCTCATCTGGGAGAACCGGGTTTGATTCCCCCACTCCTCCACTTGCACCTGCTGGATGACCTTGGGCAGGCCGTAGTTCTGATCAGAGCTGTCCTTGAAAAAGAGCAGTTTGTGTCAGAGCTCTCTCGGCCCCGCCTACCTCCTGGGGTGTCTGTTGTGGGGAGGGGAAGGGAAAGGAGTTTGTAAGCCGCTCTGAGACTCCTTTGGGTAGTGAACCTCCTCCTCCTCCTCCTCCTCCTCCTCTTCTTCTTCTACTTCTTCCTGTGTGGCGTGCTGGTTCCACTGGAACATTCCTTTGATCCAGCGCATGTTCTCATGTCCCCACGCCTTGCGGCGATGGCGTGTGTTCCCCCATGACCAGCTGCCACTCTACAACGTTCAGGGAAACAGGATGAAACAGGAACTCCAAATGTTTTGGGAAAGCAGCGTGCCGTGGAGGGATTCCGGGCACCATGAGGGCTTGCACTTGTGTGGGAAAAGATTGTCTTTCTTGCGGAGCAGGTGCTACGTTGCCTGCAGAGGGACGGGGAAGCCAATAGAAGCTGGGTCAGTTAGAAAGATGGCGATTGATTGCTCCCCACTTCTGAGGGCTGCTGTGGTGGGGGCATCGACTTCAGGGGCATGGTCCGTTGGGTGGGCTGTGGGAGCCCGGGCATGAATTGGGGTGGGGGCCAGTGTTCCCTCTAAGCTGAGTCAGTGTGAACTACCTCACAGTTTTTTTAGCCTCCGGCTCACGCATTTTTGTCTAAGCTCAGGAAGGAGGGCTCCAGGGCAAACTAATTTATGCAGTAGCCAAATGGCTCGCTCACAGCTTTAATGCCCAGGAGCTCACAAAGCAGAAT